TCCAGCTGAAAGAACTGAAGAAAAACTTCAAGCCTTAAGGTACAGGATTCTATATGTAAAATACCGAACTGTGGAAGAAGCATCAAAAGGACAGAATAATCAAGAGCGACTGTTCCAGGCTTCTAGGAAGATGGAGCCGACGTATGGATACCCATCTGCAGTTCCCTGTGAGTGGTCGCCAGATCTGCAGGGGAGGGGGCCAACTGGGGGGATTCGATCCCAGTCCTGGTGTTGAAACACCATGGGGACCTTTTGGGGGGGGTTACCTCACAAATGGCTCAGTTGTGCTCCCCTGAGTTCCCACACATTGGATAGTCAACTAGTGTGATCCCCATTGCCCCCCCAGCACCAATGTTCCACAGCCAGGGCTCCCTGGCTCCAGTCCCAGGGACTCCTGCGTGGCTTGTTCCCCTGTGAAAACTCCCCTACATGTGTGCCACAGTACCCTGGTTCCCTGCCCCACAGACAAGTGTGCCTTAACCCTTTGGGCTGCTCCCTCCCCCTTCCCACCCACTGCAAGACGTGCCCAGGCCTTTGTTGCCCATGCCACCAGATGTCTGCATGTGCCACCACCCCCTTCCCCCAGTGAAACGCTGAGTCTGCATACTGCCAGCCTACTCTGCCAGGAGCCCACTAAGACCGTCAGCGGCTTAAGCGGTGCCATGCCACCAGCTACAAGTGAGTTCCCATACCACCAGCCGCCTGTGCATTCCCATGTGCTGGCTGCCCATTTGCATTCCCTCTCTCCCCCTGGCAACTCACCTGAGCCCAAGGTGCTACCAACCCACTCTTCCCATCGGCAGAGTGTCCTCACACATGCTTGCCCCCTGGCTGGGATGAGTTCCAGGATAAACTGCCCCTTTAGGGTACCACAAGGATATATGCATGGCCTTCTGGAGGTGCTGGATGCTGGAGAATGCTGAGGCCAGCAGACCTTAATCCCTAACCAAGCTCAGAACAATGGATAAGAACAGAAAATCCAGAGATAAAAATAGTAGCATATAGACAACTGGTCTTTGACAAAGGCCCAAAAAACATCAAATGGGAAGCAGATGCCCTCTTCAACAAATGGTGCTGGAAAAAAACGGTGCTGGAAACCGGTCTGCAGAAGAATGATTCAAGACCCTTACCTCACTCCATGCACAGGAACAAAGTCAAGGTGGATTACAGACCTCAAGGTAAAACCCAAACTATCAGGATCATCCATGAGAAAATGGGGACAAAGCTAAGAACCTCGGTGCAGGGAATACATGGGCTGCCATACATAAGGAAGGATACAGACTCAGAGGAAGATAAAATAAACGAGTGGGACCTACTAAAGATAAAACATTTGTGTACATCAAGCGTCTTCATTGAGAGAGTAACAAGAGAGCCCACCGACTGGGAGAAGATATTTAGTAATGACATACCAGACAAAGGGCTGATTACTAAAATGTACAGAATCCTGCAAGCTTACAAGAACAAAACAAACAGCCCACTGAGGAGGTGGGCAAAAGAATTGAACAGAAGATTCACAAAGGAGGAAATCCAAATGGCCAATAAACATGAGAAAATGCTCCCAATCATTAGCAATCTGGGAAATGCAAATCAAAACAACTACGGAATACCACCTAACACCCACATACAGAGCCAAATTAAACAAACATAGAAAGCAACACATTTTGGAGGGGATATGGTGAGAAGGAAGTCTTATCCACAGCGAGTGGTCTTGTGTATACATACAACCACTGTGGAAAGGGATTTGGTGATACCTACAACAGATGCAAATCAAGTTACCATACGACCTAGCAATCCCACTACTGGGCACACATCCAAAAGAAGTAAGAAGCAGACCACAACCAGGTATTTACTCTCCAATGTTCGTTGCCACGCAGTTTAAATTGAAAAAAAAAAAAA